GCATTTCCTCTCCTGGAGGAAGGCCTCTTCAGTAACATCTCGATTTAACTGTCTGCCCCTCATCCTCCCCACCCAGCCTGCTGATCTGTGTTTCCAAATATACTCTTAATTATGTATATGAAAATGTAGAAATATAAGAATAGCATCCAGCGGCATGTTCAGGCTTCTAGTCTGTTTTTATAACAACATTCAACCCTGTTCTGGGAAGCAGCAGAACAGATTAGAGATCACAGAAAATTGTTTCTGGTTTACTGCTTCTGGTTTTGCAGACACTTGTGGAATTCCCAGGATACAAATTTCTTTGTTACTGCATGGCCTTGACATGTGCTTGAAGATGCTGACATAATGTGCAGAGCTATTACATGAGTTAAATTGAAAAAAATAGCCCACAGTATGTGGTTTGACTTGACAATACTCTAATCTCCAGGACAGTGGATAGGACACTTCAAATTCTTCACATACAATTGCCTAATCTTTGCATTTTAAGTTGGTTATGTTCACAATTGTCTCAAACTGTTTGAGCATTTCAGTCATTAGTAGGTTATTTTTAAAGTATGCTTAGGCTTATACAGTACTTGCTATCTTTTTTAATTGATATTCAGATGCTGGATATCAGACAGATGAATTGGTGAAGCAGGAAGCAGTTTACTCCAGGGTCTGTACAGGAGGCTCACTATATAGGAAAAGAGTCCTTAAAACTGTATGTGCATTAAAAGGATTGTACAAATCAAGCTCAGTAGACATCTACATACAGTTGCCTCACTATATAATGATTGAAAAAATACAGAATAATACAAAGGACCTTTATGTAATATCATAAGAACAGGCTGGCTCTAGTTACTTCCGAATCCTTTCCAGCAAGAGAGGATAGAGGTGCATTTTTTTAATGCTGTTTCTATAGCCCAGGCAACTCTGGGTTTCCTTTGGCAGGCTGCTCTGCCAGACAATGAGCAGCAGGGCCTGTGCCCCTGAAAGGAATTCAGAACTCCGTGCACCTGCAGAGCTCACGTACTTTCACTTCGTGAGCACTGCAAGTCTCTTAATGTGGCTTTACACTACCTGCTTTTTTATTTATTTTTTTTATTCACTGGATGAAGTTCAGGAAAAAGCCAAAAATGTTCTTGCTTGTGTAAATTTCAGTTGAGATCAGCTGAATCTAATTCTCCAATGTGGTGTTTTTCCATCAGTTTGTGTAACTTAAATACAAGTTAGATGCCATGTGCCCTGGCAAAGGAGCCAGAAATGTTACCATTTAGTAGGATTTGGAACACGGATATTCAAACCTATTTATAATTGAATTGTAAAAAAAATTAAAAATTACAATGTTCCTTATCTTTTAAAGGCATCTTTTGCCTGCCTCTCCAAAGATGAAGAAGGCAGAGTTGCATTTTGATTAATTTATTCTCAAGCATCGTTATCTTTTGGAAACTTAGGACTCTTGGAGACCTGCTAGTAAGGCTCATAATGCACAAAGATACTGCTGCTGCCAAGGCACAGCATCAAGACTCTCAGTATACATATTCACATGGTTGATGTGTTTCCTGCCATGTCTAAGATACGTGAAAACACTTCTACAATTATCTGTAAGATCAAATTCTTCACTCAGTGTATAAAGGTAAAATTCTGACTTCAACAATGCCTGAAATGGAGCTGAAAGAATCTTTCTTGTGTCGTGTTACAGCCATTTTAATGGTGAAAGCTCTCTGTTGAGTACAACATGTCCATGGGCTATTGCTCATGCAGGAACGTTGTACTGTGGCTGCATGTTCCCTAACGAGATTAGGCAATCAATTCATATAATCTCTCATTCTGTTGATTGCTTTACTGCTGGTAAAAGGACATTTATATAACTTACCTGCACAAAAACCACATCCCTTCTGCTTGAAAGATGAGAATGATGACAGACTGTAAATTTCCATGTGTGGTTTTGGAGCAGCAGCTGGGTCTTGCCTTAATTCATACCCCCCAGCAACTTTGTTCCAGACTGTGTACTAATTTTTTATGAACAATAATAATGACTCTTATATCTTCACACAAGGCACACAGCATTTCCTCACAATACAGTTTTTCTTTGAAGAGGAATTGCTAAACCTCAACAAAGCTGGGAAGTACTCTAGAGAACTGTTACCACTGCTAGAGTGATGCCAGCTGTCAGTGGAAAATCATTTGGCCAAGAAACTTAAAACCAAGTACCAAGAAGACATAAAATCAAGACTAGAGAGGACTGAGGGGGAAAATAGTCCCTAGGAAGGAGAAGTACAGGACTGTAGAAATATAGTGGAAGAAATACCGCATTTTTTGGCTCAGCACCCAAATCCTCACCACCATCAACATCAAATCAGACAGATGAGTGGGAACCTGAATGTTCTCCTCCAGACCTGATGTGCAGTGAGGAGAAGGGGAGATAAGTTGTGCAACACCTTCATCACCTGCTAGTGCTGGATAACACTGAGCTTACTGAATCCTGCTTCAGAACCACCTCTGTTTAGAAACTGGAATGTTATGCCTACTGCTGGCTCCCAAGTGCTAGAATCACGGACAGGAGTAGCTGGTGCCATTAAACTGATCAGAACAGAGAGTACCATTTTTCCTGTGCTTCATGGTGGTGTCAACAGCAATGCAAAACATTGCATGAAAACTTGTGCCTTCCTTGTCTGAAAGCACTCACTTCATGGGACAGTTCTTCAAGTAGAGAACATTTGCTGATACCATTTGTAATGAAAATAAACAGAAATGTTAACTCAGGTCATAGAAACCTCCAAATACCATTGTCTTAGCAAAAACTGATGCCATAGCTCGGGGATGAGGAACTCTGATTCTGCAGGCCAGATCTATCCCAAGACAGAGCCTCACTGCCCTTCTTACAAGGGTTCTAAAGTCCTCTTAGATGTATGTCTGTAGTATGACCAAAACATAGGGACAAGACCAGTGAATGTGGTCACACAACAGGGCTGTCACATCCCACCACAGGCAGGAACATATCTAAGAACACAACTGGATATATGACAAACAGCCAGAATACATTTGTTTCCTGTTCTAGCAGCAGATGGAGAGTTCAGTCTCTGACAGTTTGCAGGCAGAATAAGGCTACGGAGGACAATGAATGGATTTGCATGGGTTATTTTATGCAACAAGACTATATCCTTTAAATCCAGTTAGTTGTGGTTTTATTCCTAAATTCATTTGTGTAACCCTGAATTCTTTAGGCTCTATGTCAGGGGAAGCCACAGTTCTGTTCATCTTTGGTGCCTTATGCAGTTCCTAGGTGGGGTGGTCACAGTTCTGCATACGACAATATCTGTCTGTACTGCACAGATGCAACCACTGCATGATGCATTTTGGTTGTAGGTGTCATGAAATCCACCAAATGTGCTTAAGAACAATTGGTTTTAATGAGCTTCGGTCTTTCTCCTAAATAATCAAGGAAACATCAAGGACAGTTGCTCTCTCCAGATTCTTGAACAAAATCCTATTTTTAAAATTCTTGCTTGTCTGTTCATTGCAACACTGTTTGAGATTTGGCTGGAGTATCTCGGGGGCCACATGAACAGAGAGAAAAGGAACCTATAAAACTATTTTTCTGAGCAGGAGCCTCCTGAGCAGATTCTGGAGATAAATGTTATTGCCAAATCTGTGAATTTAAAGCAGATTATTGGCTGCTTAGATTAAAGATTTGCTGGGGTCAATTTTTATCTCTGACAGTTTTAATTAAGGTGTATCGAATTTCTCCAGGAGGCTCATTTCTTTCTTTATTTCCTATTCAGTGTACTCTGGAGAGAACTTTTATTTCTTCTTTTGGCCCAGAATTTATGTAGCTCTTTGGGCCTCTTGAACAGGCTATTCAGAATTAGAAACATTAGGATTAGTGCAAGTAGGAAGTTAATAAAATTACAACTACCAAAAATGCTAAGTCTATGTATTTAGGTATTCACAAAAGAATAAGATGTTCTCAATTAATAACAATTAAAGAACATGTGATGTTCAGACCCAGTGACAGTAAGAACCAGACTAATAAGCAGACGTAGTACACAGCAAATTTCATGATTTAACATTTTCATTTTTATGAAATGGAGAAACTAAGGATGGAAGCAGATAATATGAGCTATGCAGCACATCAGTGATGAAGCTGGGAATAGATTCCAGAAACCCATCTACCCAAAACCAATACTTCTGTCTGCAGCCTCTGCAGAGCTTCCTAGGCTGCACATCTACCACAGTGCACGGCCCTAAAACAGCACCAGGCCTGTGTCCCATGGCTGAGATCTGTTCAGAACTGCACCAGCTCACCAGATCACTCCTGTGAGCTCACTGCTCATTGCTCCCAGCTTAAGTGCCACAGCTCATGAGGTTTATGTTAGCTATTCAAAAAAGGCTTGTACCTTCGAGGTGACACCTGTCCCCCGCTGGAATACAGCGCTCCCTGCCTCACTTCTGAGTGAGACCCAAGGCAGTGAACAAGGGAAACTGGAGTGCTTTGTAGCAAATGCAGGAAAAGAGGCACAGCTGTGGAGAATACAAGGGGAGAGCCTTACATCCAGAGCCTCAAAATTGCCATTTTGCAGTTTTACCATACCTTTTTAAATAGCTGAAGAAGAAGACCCCATCATGCCTCCTGAACTTCAGCACTTGGTCAGACACACAGGGACAGCTTGGAGGAATAAGTGAATATACTATAAAGCACAGTACAGATATTATTAAGTCATAAAGTTCAACAGACCACGAGAGATGTGAGATATCCATGAAAGGATCAGGAGCCCAGCATCCCTGAAGACCCAGTTATCAAACAAGGTGCATGACTAGTTTGACAGCATTTTTTAATGGGCTGGAATACCACAGCAGCCTACTCTGGCAGAGGGTAACACCTCCATCCACTAATGAACTCACACTGAAGTGGCATTCACGCTGCTTCCAACCTTTTTATTCTATATTCTTCATCCAAAAAAATAGCCCGTGGAAGACACTGCTCTCCCTTCTAACCGTGCCGTGTTTGCTCCCTGCAGGTGAGCGGCCTTTTGAATGCAGCTGGCAGGGCTGTAACAAGAAGTTCGCTCGCTCGGACGAGCTGGCCCGGCACTACCGCACTCACACCGGAGAGAAGAAGTTCAGCTGCCCGCTGTGCGAGAAGCGCTTCATGCGCAGCGACCACCTGAGCAAGCACGCCCGGCGGCACGCCGACTTCCAGCCCGGCATGCTGCAGCGGCGCGGCGGCGGCTCCCGGCCGGGCTCCGTCAGCGACCACAGCCGCTCGGACGCCTCCAGCCCCACCACCAGCCCCGCCAGCTCCCCATAGACTGCCTGCACTGGATGCCAGCACTTTGCCTCTCATGCCTAACGTGGAGTTTTGTTTGTGTTGCACACATAGAAAAAAAAAAAAACTCTGTTGCTTCCCCTCCTTCGGTTCCCACCCTCTCTTTTTTTAAAAATCAGTAAATAGCTGCCTCCCACTGCAATTTTTAGTCAGATTTTCTTTACCCAACCACACAAGTGGCTATTCTAACCTCATGGACAGACAAACTTACGTGTTACACTTAGTGACTCCTGCTGTCTCAATATTTCATATATTTTGCAACCCTTTATGGATCCTCTTCATTATTCTTTATAAGAAAATGAAAAAATCTTTAAAAAAGGAAAAAAAAAATCTGCTTAATTCACCTCAGGTGTCGAAGTAGTTTGTAAAACCGGATTGCACAATATAAGCATACATACACTTAAAAATCAACTGTGTTGGATTTGTGTCCCCCTTCTCCTTTCTCAGGGATGGATATTTATGTTACACGATAATTACAATGAAGACACACCCTAACCACGGCCTTACTCTGTAAATATAATTGCACTCAGAAGCTTTTAGTTAGGTTCTTTCACACACTGGGGAAAAAATAAAAAACAAGCAAACAATACAGAAACCAGCCCAATACTGGAATGTAGTACTGGACTCTTCCATTGCTCATTTTCCTGGTGATACACCTGTGTTGGGGAGTCTCCAAGCAGGAATCTTGTCTTTCTTCAAGCTGCCCTCTGCCTGTGGTAGCAAGCTGTCTTCTCACTTCATGCTGAAGATGCTCCAAAACCAACTTCCAATTGCAAAAATCTCTGTGAGGTTGATAAACTTTTTTGTTGGTTTGTTTCATGCTAGATAAAATTCTGAGAAAAATTTGTCAACAAGATGCCTTAAATGAGTAACCTAAATGACAAAGAAACAAATTTACACTGGGTAACGTTTTACAGCAAGGTGGCCTGGAATCTCTGAGACATTCTGTTGTCACTCTCCAAGCTGTTAAGCTGTCTGCACTGCCTGTTCAGTATGGGACCAACAGAATATTCAAATCAAAGCACACTGACTTGAACAATTTCCTTTATTTCTTCTTCCTTTGTTTTGTTTTGGTTTGTTTGGGTTTTTTTTTTAATTACCTACAGAAATAGCATTACTGAACCAATGCCCACCAAAACTGTTATCAAGGTACTTACCTACTGTACAGCTGTATCTTAGAAAGAAAAATTGGCCAAGACATAGTTTCTGTATTCTGTTGCATCAAAATTGTGGTAGTTGATAAAAGGAAGTGAAAATCATAAGATATCTTCTGACTGGAATAATAAAATATGCATTTTTAAGTTTAAAATAAAATGACATTATAGCTCAGCACTACTTCAAGTTTCTCAAAAATACACATACCAGCATAAAGCAAGGTGCTCTTATTTCTGAATAACTGCTTAATAACAGAAAGGGAATATTGGCTAGTTTTCAATAACATTCAAATATTTAACACTAGATAGAGCACAAGGATTTTTATGTTTTATATGGTAGAAAATATAGTAACAGTCCAGAAGCATAGTGATGTACTGAAAACCTCGCTGGCAGCAAATACACATTCCTTGGTTTTTCTGGGTCTGATGGTGCATATTATCAATTCAGGTCCTTTTTGTTCTGGAATTTTGGGGTGTTTGCTGTTTTTCCTGTAGGGTATAAGTGCAGTTAAGTGTAGCAAGGTGAAAAGAAACTCTCTATGCCAAACCTGTAATTTGATATTAAGTGAATGCCTCCAGATTCCCAATGAACCTGTATCTTACTTGCTGCTTTGCATTGATCCAGTTTTGCAAGGTTTTATTGTACTGTATGTTAACTGTGAGAAGCTAATATAGATTTCCAAGTAATTTCATAGGTACTTCCATAATATACATTATTGCTAATACTACATCTTCTATTATTTGTCCAGATAAATACTCTAAGTATTTATCAATACAAATACAACTATAAATCTAAACAAGTGCAGATGTTTCAGTATTTTTTTCATGTTCATTTGCTTCAGATTTCATGTCTGTTAATTTCCTTCTTGGAATTGGAAGTTGTGAGAGGCACAATTCTACTGTTTCATTTCACAGAAAATGAAAGAACATAGTAAGGGTTTTTTGCAAGATGACTAAGAGTTAATGTGATGAGTTACCCAAGCTCTGGAGTTGGGGGAAAAGCAGATCTGTTGGCCTCAACAGATTTCCTTTTTTTTTTGTTTTTTTTTTTAAATTTCATGTACTGAGATGCACAATTTTAACAACTTGATAGAATTCAGGTAACAGGAATTCACATTCCAATAATTTCTGTCAGTCCTAGAAGTGCTCTTGTGCTGTAGTTAGCAGAGAGGCATTTCAGATATCTAGCTCAAGGAATTCTACAGGTCAGCTCTGTCTTGTGCACATACTTCAAAACAAGTCAAACACATTTCTCATTATCATTATACCTTAAGAGAGGTATATGGAGGGGAGGGAGAACAAGAAAATCCAAAGGAGCACTAAGTATTGGCAAACATTATAGGCTTCATGTTCCAAATTAATTGTGCTGTAAACTCACCTGTTCCAAGAAGAGCATCATTTAATCTTCAGGAAAGGAGGAACCACTCAATTTCATTTATTTAGGACTTAATAATTCAGCATGAATCAGTTTATGCATTACAAACGAGTTGTTTTATTAGCCTGGAGAAGGAATATTTGCACCAGGTTTTATTAGTACTGAGATTATAGGATATAAATGTTTTGGGACAGCCTCTTCTGAGGAACACAGAACTATGTAATCTTAAACATAATAGTTAAGTACTATTTTGCTCATATTCTTCATAGATTTTACTAATAATTTTTCAAGTTTAAGCGGGAGAAAACAAATCGGTTCAAAGTTAAAATTCCATTTCAGTCAGTTCATTTAATGAGAACACCATGGAGCTGTATATAGCCAGCATAACTACACTTTCAGGAAATACTCTGAAATTGGTTGTTGAAACTTTTTTGGTTTTACATCTTGGCTGTAAATACCTCAGCATGTATTAGGCTGACAGTCAAGTTACTGTGTTTTAAAATCCCAGAGAGAGTTTCAAATATCTCCATTAAAAGTTTAATACTGTGTAGTTTTCAGGTAAAATGATAAATTCCAAACCACTAGTATTTTCCAAAATTAAATGTAATCAAAAACTTCTCTTAATATTTTCATATGAGAAGAGAGTGGGGTTTTCTAGCATCTGCTGGAAATGTCTGATGATCAGCAAGGTCTTTAGACTCCATTCTCATGATGGTTCCTCCTGAGTTTTGCAGACATGAGAAGGCAGAACAGCTCAAATTATGTTTTGAAATCTGTTTGCTGATCCAAACTAACCTCAGATTTTTACCCTTCTGTTGTTTCACCCAGCAGTGTAATCTAAAACAGTCTCCTGGCACAGCAACAAACATGTCACACTCAGGAAATACTGCTCTGGCAAGGTGCAGGTTTCTCCATCTGGAGGAGTGTGCATCTCTCCTGCCTCCTCCTTTCGCCATGCAATCTGTTGAGGTGCTCTCACAAAATACAACATTGCCATGATTTATTTTTTTTTCATTTGAGGTGATAGCAACAGCTTTGTTATTATTATGAAAGCCCTGGAAAGTTTGTTTTTCTCCAGCCATGATTCTAACTTCTCTAAGTGTTGAGCTCAACTGCCTTTCTACAGGAAATTGGTGCAAGTGAAAATCATGACCTTGCTACCAGGTGAAAGTGAAGATGCTCTTAGGAGCTCATTCACCCCTTGCATTAACCTCTCCCTGTGCAAAGGCCTAATGGCAACATGAATTCAGTTTTCATCCTGCTTCTTAGAAAGCAGTGCTGATAAATTCCTGGCAGCTAGATTTTGTGAGAATTTTTTGTATCTGCAAATTAATTGTTCCTTGCTTTTATAATACATGCCTAGTATCTGTTTACATAACTGCAAAGGTATATATTTATGACAAGTCATCAGAAGCCTCTGTTCGATGGTAGCGCCTAATTCCTGTCTGCATCCCACCCTCTTTACTGCATTAACCCTTGCAAGAAGTTGTAGCTTTGAGAGCCTCTGCACCTTTAAACCTCACTACCCTCTACCCAGACGTTCAGCACTCTCCTTGTCTCACTCAGCCAGGCAGTAAAGGCTGTGTGAGGAGCATCCTGTTCCACAACTGCTCGTCTCCAGTATTTTGTCATGAGTTACAGGATTTGTATTTGTGAAGTGCGGTGTTGGTTTTGCCTTTTCATTGCCATTAGATTTACTAATTTCATCAGGTCATGCCTACAAACTAACTTTCAGGTGCTCTTTTACTCCATCAGACCATCTGTTTGTGCACTGGGTGCTAACATCTAGTCTATGTCAGTGAATGGTATGATGAACATCTGTATTTGTAACTCTCGGGGATAAGAGCTATAGCCTTAGGCAGAAGAAAATACCCAAATTATTCTTGTTTATCCCATAAGCCAGAATATAGAATGCAAAAGCCCATCCACTGGTATAGGTTTTTATAAATATATATATTTATATATATGGATTTATATAAGTATATGCACATATATATAAAAATAGATATATATGTGTATATTGTATAGTGTATGTGTGTATACATAAATACACAGCAGTGTGTCTGTACTACACACTGACTAATGAAGGGATGTCTACAGAGCAAAAATAGGTATCCATTTCATTATAACTAGTGATGGGCCTGAACCAAATTCCTACGTCCAAATGCCATTGCATTTGGACTTTTTGAACCTGTTGGAGATTTGTGGTTGAGTTTCATCTCTGGTTACAGGTGCATTTAGTGGTGTACATCGTGCATGTGGGGGACACGTGTGTGCGTGCACATGTGCTCTTCCAGCAGCACATGCCCGCGTGGGGGCTGTGGCACGCGTGTGCCGGGGAGCGTGCACGTGTTCACAGCTGAACTGCCACTGCAGTGAGCTGTGAAGCTGCCCGTGCCACCCTCACCTGGACAGGTTCGTCAGCAGCACATGAAAGCTTCTACTGCCACTGCAGTGAGCTGTGAAGCTGCCCGTGCCACCCTCACCTGGACAGGTTCAGCAGCACATGAAAGCTTCCGTGGCTCACTTTTCAACTCT